TAACACAGCAGATTGCTACTCCTGTAGGCTTGATTTTAATGACATACTCAGCTTCAGCAGTCGACGATAACTTCGTGGGAGGCCGTTGTTTGTCGAAACTGTTGGAGTCATAAAACAGCCCGGTAATTAAAGTTCGCATTGAAATTCCGAGGAAGTATGAATTCAAATGAACGGCTCGCGCGAGGATCGATCACGAGTTTCCAATTGGGTAATGTTGAGTCTTCTCGCGGCAGAAAAACGAGAAAAAAAAAGTCGGTCGTATGCCACCGACACTTTTGTATCCATATTGACCGTCGCGTCATTAAAGGAAATATGATGTCTCACTAAAAGCAGCTAGGCTACGCTTTCGCGTCGACCACGAATAGCTTGTTAAACGAGATCTAGGTGGATCCTCGTTAGACCTGACGAAATGACGTAATGATCGTGAATAAACGCGACGTATAATGTGATAATTATTGAGCGCTATATCGATTGACACATTTCCAATTTTAACGAAATAATTAAAAAATCAAAAAATTGATATAAACATTGATAATAAACATAAATTTTTTATAAATAAAACATTTATTTTTTTTATTTTTTTTATATAAACCGATAATAAAACGTTCATTTTAATGATGTAAATGCGTATAATAGCAAAAATATTATTAAAATTTATTCAGTTTAGTAATTCATATTCGCTACTCACAAGATACAAATTTAAAAAATGACTCGATAACACATAATTTTGTATTTTAATATATAATAAATCTGAATATAATAAATTTTATGTTTTATTATAAATTTAAATATAAAAATTTATATCATAAATTAATATTTTATTCATACCTGTATTCCCACGTGTAAATATATTTTCATTTGAATTGCAATAAAGAGATTATTTTATTATTTTTTCTGATTTTTCACAGTTAATTACATACACCTTTTCAAATTCAAAATATTAGATCTGATTAATTTGAACGCATAAAAGCATATTTATTTCGCGCGCGAGAAGCTTCGCCCGATCCATTTAAGTGTTCAATTCTATACACCGTGTAACCCGAAGAACAGAAGAGAAATACAGAAGAGAATATTTACGAAGCTTTACTTTGTCGGTTTGTTTCTTGTCGCAAGAGACGCGCACTTCCTTCTCTTTACAAATAACGATAAAAACGGGTCACGAACGAACGAATATCCGTGATCGAAGCTTTCAACGCTGAAACGCTGAAATGCCAAGACAGGTTCGCGCTTTCGTCCTTCCAACTCTCTCGCAAGGATGTACAACGCACGAGAAGACTTCGGAGAGAATCGCTCGAGTTCCCTCTTTTCACGCGCTTCTTCTCGTCGTCTGCCTTTCTCGACGCGGTTATTTTTAGCTCCTTCCTCTTTTTCGCTCTCTCTACTTTCGTCGTACGATCAGAAATACCGGAATTACATAATTATTAAAAAAAAAAAAAAAAAAAAAATTCTCGTACAGCTAAATTAATTAACCATCTTAAATGTCAGCGGCGAAAGAAATGAATTTCTTGGTTAACTTTATTAATCGCTCTATTAATAAAATTAACTTAAATCCGCATATTATAAGAATCTCCCAATTTCCTGCCGTTGCCATTTCACTCTGGAATTGTCGAACCGTATCAGGTTCGCTTCTATCAATTACAATGTTTTGTAAAATAACACGCGGCTATCTTCTCTCGCGCTTTTGCGCATTAAGCGCGTAATACCGGTTATTTTCCATACTGGGATTTAATTGTCATCCGCCGTGTTCCTTTGGCGGATAATTCATAACTGGCACGAACAGTAATTTATTGCCGGAAACTCGTTAAGATCGCTACTTCAGAACCAGTT